CTGAAATTATCCAAACTTTGGAAGGCCTCAGATTAAAGAAGAGGCAAATCTAGAAATACCAAAGGCATTTAAAAAATCAAAATCAAAATCAGGCTTCCGTGGGGCATTTTAATTTTGTTATCTTCCTGGACCTCAAGGCAAGAGGCAAGGCCCCCATTAAAATGACTTAAAACTTCAGTCTCTCTGCAACCAACGCAATCTTAAGTTCAAAAGAGCTTACATGGGGTCAACACAATTAGTTTCCTAATCATCTGGATGTTTGTGAGGGAACCCCAAATCAAGTTATGGAATAATTGGAAAGAAGGCAATCACATAACAGTTTTAAATGATAGCTTTGACTAGCCTATAGGCCATTTCAAAGCACAAGGTGCGAACACATATCGCCAATAAAATCTTATACAAACAATTTAAAATAAGAGTAGGGTAAAATACAATAGTTATAGGATAAGATAAAGCCGAAGAGCCAGCGCTGTCCGAAGACATCTCCGTGGTCACGTGGCCGGCATGACTCAACGCCAAAAGCGCACGGAACGCTGTTCTCTTCCCACCAAAGGTGGTCCCTATTTTTTCTACTTGCATTTTTTTTTTATGTGCTTTCAAACTGCTAGGTTGGCAGAAGCTGGGACAAGTCACGGGAGCTCGCCCCCGTTATACGCGATGCTAGGGACTTGAACCGCTGAACTTCCGGACCTTTCGATTGACAAGCTCAGCGTATACGTACCTCTAAATTCTGAAGAGGCTCTTTCCTTCTCACGCCAACCGCACATTCTGACTAAGAGGGGACCAAAAAATTAATTAATTAATTAATTAATAATAATAAGGAAACTGACCTGGAAAAGAATTCAAACGAAAAAAAGATTGCCTGTATGAAACACTCACTTCCTCCCTCCTTCCCAGTAAAACGTCCATCAACATTGCTCAGAGAAACTGCGCACAAAAACAAGCCATCTATATGGCTGTGATGGCAAACCTATGGCACACGTGCCGGAAGTGGCACACAGAGCCATCTCTCCAGGCAGAAGAGCCATCGCCCGACAGGACTGTGAGGTCCAAAAAGGACCGTCCAGCGAAGGGCATATCGGCGGTGATCTTGGAGTTCCAGGATCTTCCATCCGGGCTGTAGCGACGTCAGCTCCTCCCTGCCCAAGCATACTCCGGTGTGCATACGCATGCCGGGAAGATGATCTTCCGCTTTCTGGCGCGCGCATGCACACCAGCCATCTGGTTTTCCAGTTTCTGGCACGCATGCATGTGCAAACACACACCGGAACCTGGAAGATCATCTTCCCGGTGCGCACATCGGCATCGTGCGGTTGCTCTTCCGGTTTCCAGCACGCACATGCACATGCAGTCCCGTTTCGGCACTTAGTGCTGAAAAGGTTCACTGACACTGCTCTAGATCCAATGCTCCCCAACATTTTGGGGCATGAGGGAGCGGTTCGGTGGAGAGAGGTTTTCCTGCGGACCGGAAGGGGCGTGGATTCACATGCTGCCTGCATCCCGCGGATGGGGCTTCGCTCGTTTGCGCAGCCCCGTTTCTGACATGCTGCAGCCCAGTGCCGGTCCACGAACTTAGATAGAATTTAAACGCAGGGTTTCCAAACATTTTTCTTCGTTTTGGCCAGCCCCTCCGCTCCGTTATTTCAACGAAAGAGGCTCACCTGGGAGGCTCATCCCTTACCTTTAACAGTGGCATTTCTCGCGCCTGGCATATTAGGAGATGCATTTCATTCAGCTGCTGGCGGACTAGAGGTGGAACTGGGTTACAGCAGGCAACAATTCCCTGGGGTTCTCTAAAGGGGCGGACAAGCAGGAAGAGAAGGTTTGGGTGAAGGAACCATTTTATTTTTTATTTTACTTACAAAGGGAAGAGCATCAGTCTCGAACCACCTTATCTCCCTCAAGAAACCTGCTTGTAGAATCAAGAGACTTACTTGGGCAGCTCCTCGGCTATCTTTAGCAACATGTGATTGGGAAGGATGTATCTGCAGAAGAAGTCAAGACAATTTGGATTCAGATTCACAGAGTTGGAAGGGACCCTGTAGGTCAGTGATGGCTAACCTTTTTGCCATTCACATGCCAAAAGCGGGGGGGAGGGGGAGCATGGGAGGGTCGAGTGCGCATGTGCCCACACCCATAATTCAATGCGCCCCCCCTGTGCGACCTCGCTTTTGGCACGTGATGGCACGGTGGGCCCGGTAGGCCCATTTTTTTGTCCTCCCCAGGCTCCAGAGCCTTTCTAGGAGCCTGGGGAGGGCAAAAACAGCCTCCTTCTCAAGCACCTGCAGTCGTGACCTTGATGGTTTCCAGGCTCTCACAATCCGCGCACACATTCTCAACACTCTCTTCCCCCAATTCATTGGCAAGTCGCATAGCGAGAAGGTTTGAAAGAAGCAAAGCGGTTCAAGGTACCGACAGTGCCATCGTAACTTTGGTCGCTAAACGAACTGTTGTAAATCGGGAACTACCTGTATTTGCTCTGCTGGGGGAGCGAGAACCCCAACTCCCCATGGATCTCACCAAGAAACTTTCTCTAATATAACTAAAAAGTCAAAGCAAAACTGCTGGTTTGGTAGAACCCAAGAGAGGTGCCCAGCCGCCATTCTCCTCACCCTGTGCTCTCATCCTCTTGGCGCGCCATCTTATCCCTCCAGGCAAAGAGCAGCCGAAAAGCTGTGAGTTGCTGGGTGTTCAGGTGCTTTTTTTGTTTGCGATAAAGTTCCAGGTACGAATCGTCCGTGAAGATGGGCTTGGTATATTTCTAATTGTGAAGAGATCAAACACATTTAGTCTGTTTTCCGCTCTAGAGAGCAGGCTACTGAATCACAACCCTAACCCAGCATTGCCCGGGTATTTATAGACGTTGAAAACTTTGTCTGACAGGGAGCCATTGAGAGAGGCCTTTCTTCCCCCTACTCCCATGCCCATCACCCCTGCCCTTTCCCTTCCCCCTCCCATGTGCTCCTCTTTCCAGCCCTGTCTACGATCCTGGCACTTTGCCCCAAATCCATCAGGCGCTTCCCCATTAGTCCACTGGAGGGTGAACCTCATGGCTGGCTTTCCAGAGGAAGCTACGAAGGAACTGACATCACAAACAATTGCCGCTCTAGGATGCCGCACTCGCTCTCCTTAACAGCCCAGGCTTTCCAGAGTTATGCTGGAACACACACACACACACACACACACACACACACACACACACACACCCAGGTGTTGTGGTCCGCCAACATCCTGTGGAGCTGACAGCGGAGTTGGACAATGAGGAGGCTGGGGAGGAACATGGGTCTTACACCCCAGTGTTTGTTTCCAGATTGAAAGTCATCTGTGTATCAAGTTTGGTTAAAATTGCTCGAGGCGTTCCAGAGTTATGCTGGAACATACATACATACACATGCACATCCATTTATGTATGTATGTATGTATGTATGTATGTATGTATGTATGTATGTATATTCCTCTAACGCAGGAATGTCAAACTTGATTTCATTGAGGACCACATCAGGGTTGTGTTTGACCTCGAAGGGGCTGAGGTGGTGTGGCCAGGGTGGCCGTGGCCAGCTGAACATCACTGGTGTTGGGGGCATCTCTGGCGGCCTGAGCACTCTGCCAGCAAAAACGGGCTCCCAAGCTCTGGTTTCGGCTGCGACAGCCTCCTGCAACACTGCCAGCAAAAACGGAGCTTGGGAGAACCGCACATGGCCATCCTGAGCTCCATTTGCGCTGGCAGAGGCACTGCAGACCGGTCCTTCGCTGTTTCCAGGGTGGCACCGCGGGTCAGAACTAAGCACCCCGTGGGCCAGATCCGGCCCGTGGGCCTTGAGTTTGACACCCCTGCTTAAATGCAACGGCTTCTCTCCCCTGCTTGAGCCCAGGGGTAATTCTGCTTTCTCCACCCTCACCTTTAAGCAGATGCTCTGGCTTCGCTGCCAAACCACTTGGAGTTGAGCGGGCTGCTCATTGGCCATTTCCCAGAGTGCCTCCCTCACTCTGTCGTAGATATACAGCAAGTAGTGGGTGTCCTCGCGGGCATAAAAGACCATTTCCTCCGGCAGCGGACTAGAAAACAAGGCCAGAGAAAAACAGGGTTGCCCCAAGGATCATACATGGATTCTCAAATATTTCTACCCCTGGCCTGTTCCTGAAATACTCATGTCACATTTGAGCCCATCCGTATAGGCCCAGCTGTGGTCCAAGCAAGACAGTGAAGTGAATTTTGTCCCGTTTTATAACCGTTCTTGCCACAATGTGTATCACTGCAGCCGTTAAGTTAGGAACACGGTTGTTCAGTGAATCTGACCCCCCCCGTTGACTTTGCTTGTCAGAGGGTTGCAAAAGGGGATCATGTGACACTCCCCCCCCCCGGGGACTCTGCAACCGACATAAATATGACTCAGTTGCCAAACGTCTGAATTTTGATCACGGGGAGGCTGCAACGGTCTTGAGTATGAAAAAAACGGTCATAAGTATGTGAGGCTGTTTGGATACTGAAGCGGTATTTGCTGTATGAGTAACAAGGAAGGAGACCTAAGCGTGGCTTAGGTCAATTGTTCTAAAGCTGCATGCTGTGCTGATCTCTGAAACTAAAACTGAAACTCCTCTCCTCTGCTTGGGTTTTGCTTGCTCCTGCAAACAGTCCTTGCATCAAATAGCGAACAGCCAGGTCAGCTTCAGCACATTATCGCAGCCTGATTCAGCACAAGCAGCTGATTGGTGGCTGGATCGGCCTCCCGGAATACTCCCAATCAGCTGTTCCAGGCTGCAGGGATTGCCATAGACCGTCGCATCCTCCGTGCCCCATGTTTTTGGCTACATTTGTTGTATAAGACGCACCCAAATTTTCACCTTCTTTGTGGGGGTGGGGGGGGAAGTGTGTCTTATACTCCGAAAAATACGGTAATTCCTGCAACCGTTCTTCATATGTTTTAGTCTCCAGGCCCTTAACCATCTTAGTTGCTCTTCTCTGCACTTTTTCCCAAAGTCTCAACCATCTTTTTTCTCAGCTAAAAAGAGCGAAAGGGACCGAATGACTTAAGAGGGGACCCTGCATCGGAAAGCCTGCTCTTCCCACAACCACAGGGACAAATATTACCGGATCCTCCAGTCTGCCAGCTGATATTGCTTCTTGGCATCCACGTCGCAATAGAGCTTCAGCAGATGATGCAGAGAGTGGCGTCCGAGGTTGAGCAGCCGAGCTGCCTGGTGAGTGTCGAAGACGTTCACCAGATAGAGGCCAAAGTCCCTCTGAAGCCATTCCACATCTGAATCAGCACCGTGAAGGACCTGCAGAACCCCGTCAAGAGAACATAGTCTTAAAAGGCCACATCTCCTCGCCCCGATGAGGAATTGATGTGGAAAGTCAACATCCAGATGTTTGCACAATCAGAAGAAAGGGATGCTGATGTTCCGGGAGGGGGCATGAGTTCCCCCATCTTTGCAACCCTGATTTTTGGCCACCTTTGGGCCAAAACTCAGTGGGCTCAGTGGCAGCTTCCAACGAAGCCCAGAAAGGTTTGATTAACTCCTTAAATCCGGCACTGGAGAGGGAACCTGTCTGCATCAAATCTGCCTCGTTCGCTCATCCCTAACTGCCTTCTCCTTTCACCTTGACAATTGCAGGGTCAGTGAAAGTTTCGTTCAAGATGTACAAGTCGCTGCGTAGCTCTAACGGGTCAATGATGAAGTCTTCCGTTCGGGTAGAAATTTGCATCAGGCAAGTCAGCCCCAAGAAACTCCGATAGGAATGGTGCTGCGGGACAGCGGGAGAGAAACAAAGTAGGTAATAAGATAACGTACCTATGCTCGACAACGTAGGTAATAAAATAACAGGTGAAACTTTGGCAGCTACACGCCTCATCATTTCAACTTGTCATTAGGGGAAAGCGGGGAGGTTACAAATGGGCTAACTAGAGAAACGAAACTTCTACAGTTCCACTGAAGCTGGTGAGAGTCTGGAAACCTTTCAAGGACGTCTTAACAGGTGTGAAGAAGAAGGCAGATAGTTCCCATAACAAAGAGAACTTGTTTACATGGTCTATGAGGAAGCCTGGGTGGTTTGGCTGGGAAAACCATTGTTTAATACGATGAATTCAGACCCTGACGATCTCAGAGTTAGTTTTACCTTGACATTACTATGCCATGTATTCAATAAACACTAAGCCAGTGATGGCGAAGCTTTTTGCCATCATGTGCCAGGAGGGCGGGGGGTGGGTGGGGGTGGGGTTCGCGTGCATGTGTGCCCACACCCATAATTCTATGTGCCCTGCCCCCGTGCATGCGCGCATGACCCCCTTCACTTCTGGCATGCGATGGCCCGGTAGGCCCGTTTTTCTTTCTCACCTGGCTCCAGGGCCTCTCTAGGAGTCTGGGGAGGGTGAAAACAGCCTTCCCCACCCCCCGGAGGCCGAAAACGGCCCGTTTGACAACTTCCAGTGGGACCGGAATTTGTTAAACAGGCCGTTTTCAACCTCCAAAGGACCTCCATGGGGGGGCGGGGGGAAGGCCATTTTCACCCTCCCCAGACTCCTAGAGAGGCCCTGGAGGCTGGGGACAGCAAAAAACTGGCCTTCCGGTCCCAGTGGAAGTTGTTAAACGGGCCGTTTTCACCTCCGGGGGACCTCCGGGGTGGGGGTGGGGAAGGCCGTTTTCACCCTCCCCAGACTCCTAGATAGACCCTGGAGCCAGGTGAGGAAGAAAAACAGGCCTTCCCTACCCTCCCAGGCCCTCCGGAGGCAGGAAAGAGCCTGTTTCCCTACTTCTTTTGGGCCCAGAAGACCTGAAAATCAGCTGGCCGGCGCGTGCATTTGCCGAGCTGAGCTCGCGTGCCCACTGATATGGCTATGTGTGCCACCTGTGGCAGCGTGCCATAGGTTCGCCATCACGGCATTAAGCTTTCCAGAAACGGAATGGTCCTGGACTTTTATTGAGACGTTGACACATACGTATCCTGCTTTTTAGACTAACGCCTTTCCCAAAGCAGGGATCTTCCCCGCAAAGGGGAAAAAAATAATGACAAATGGAGCATTTTGAAAACACTTCCTCGGTTTAAAGTCCCGCCAGCATTTCTCAATTTTTGAGAGTCCAACTCACAAGCCTCTCATTTTTATTTTTATTTCTATTTTGCAAGCATCAAAGAAAAAGAAGCCACACCAAAAAGAAAAGAAAAGAAAAGAAAAGAAAAGAAAAGAAAAGAAAAGAAAAAAGGCTCACCTCCAAATCCAAAGCGAACTCTTTGCAGCCCACCAGCTTCTCGTTCAGCTCCACCAACTCCTCCAAGGTGGAAATGAAGTGGCAGGGAGTCTCTGTCAAGGGTCTGAACATCTGGCCGGAGAAAGAAAAAAAATATATGAAAGAAGCGTAGTATAGTTTCAGCTGCAGAGCCCAGAAGGAGCTGGAAGGAGGTGGGAGGACTTGGCCCAACGCTCACCTGGACCTGAGGCTTTTCGAGAAATTCTGTTGGCACTGAAAAATGTTCCAGTTCATACCGATACGGATGAGCAAACCTACAAGAATCCGGAAGGACAGTACGATCAGGAACTAAGGTTGTGATTCTTAACTAATGAAGAAACCAGCAACCGGTAGCACCAGCAATAAATAGAAGACAACCGAGGCGGTAGGTTGATCCTCAAACTTTCTATCAGGATGTCTTGAGGCTAAAATGTACCGTGTTTCCCTAAAAATAAGACCAGGTCTTATATTACCGTATTTTTCAGAGTATAAGACGCACCGGAATATAAGACGCACCTTAGTTTTTGGGGAGGAAAATAAGAAAAAAACCGATTGGCAGGTGGATCGGCCTCCCAGAATACCCCCAATCAGCTGTTCCCAGAGATGAATTTTAGCAACAGGTTCCTTGGTTGTGAGCTCTGTGCCTTGCTCTTTTTTCTGCCTCTGAAACTTCTGAAACTGTTTCAGAAAAAACTTCCTTTTCTGCCTCTGAAAGCCTCCGAAACAGCTTCACAAAAAAAGCCTCTGAAAGCTCTGTTTGGAGGCTTTTTTTCTGAAGCTCTGTTTGGAGGCTTTTTTTCTGAAGCTCCGTTTGGAGGCTTTTTTTCTGGAGCTCCGTTTGGAGGCTTTTTTTCTGAAGCTCTGTTTGGAGGCTTTTTTTTCCTGAAGCTTGGTTTCTGATGCTTTTTTCAGCCTCTGAAACCTCTGTTTGAGAAGCTGGGTGGGGCTACATTCGGAGTATAAGACGCACCCAGATTTTCACCCTCTTTTTTGGGGGAAAAAGGTATGTCTTATACTCCGAAAAATACAGTAATTTTTGCTCCAAACGACACATTAGGGCTTATTTTCTGGTTAGGTCTTATTTTGGGGAAAATACGGTACTAAATGCATCCATCTGGCTGACAATCTTAACTGGGGTTTATTTTGGGGGTAGGGCTTATGTTACGAGCATCCTGAAAAAAACATGCTAGGGCTTATTTTCCGGTTGGGTCTTATTTTCGGGGAAACAGGGTATTTATTTGAGGTAAACAGCTGCCTGGAGTCAGTTATGGGAGATGGGTGGGCTATATAATTTAAATAATTTCCCAGAATTCACTGCAGGTTTTGTGTGAGACCACGAGAAGAAACATGTCCTGCAGATTTAGTCCTGGCTGCCTGTTGAGGTGGGTTTGAACTGTTTTAACCCGTTTTTAAAAATCTGCCCAAAATCTTAACTAATTTAATACCGTGTTTCCCCGAAAATAAAACCCCATCTTATTTTTTTTTAACCCCGAAATAAGTGCTTGGCCTTATTTTCGGGGAGGTCTTATTATTTTGGGGCGCGTGGAGCAAGACGGGGCTCCTCTTGCCGTCTTACCTGATTTCCAGCTCTGCGTTTAAATATTTTTGGGGAGCGCTTATTTTCAGGCGGCGGCTTAATTTAGCGCATGCGCTCAAAAGCCGGATTGGGTTTATTATGAGGGGATGTCTTATTTTCAGGGAAACAGGGTAAGTTAAATTAATGGTGGCCGTAACACATTTAGCAGTAGCACTTAGAACTATATACCGCTTTACAAGCCCACTCTAAGTGGTTTACAGAATCGGCATCTTACCCCGCAAAAATATGGGTCATTTTAATCGAACTCCAGATTGTGGGCAGAGTTAGCCTGCAATCTTATATTCTAACCACAATAGATTATATAGCAATAGCACTTAAGACTTATATATCGCTTCACTGTGCTTTTACAGCCCTCTCTAAGCAGTTTATAGAGTCAGCCTATTGCCCCCAACAATCTGGGTCCTCATTTTACCAACCTCGGAAGGATGGAAGGCTGAGTCAACCTTGAGCCAGGATCGAACTGTTGGCATTGGGCAGAATTAGCCTGCAATACTGCATTCTAACCACTGGGATGGAGGATGGATGGGAGGGAGGAAAGGAAGATAGCAATAGCACTTATATACTGCTTCACAGTGCTTTATAGCCCCTCTCGAAGTGGTTTACAGAGTCAGCCTATTGCCGCCAACAATACGGGTCCTCATTTTATGACCTCAGAAGGATAGAAGGCTGAGTCAACCTTGAGCCGGTCAGGATCGAACTGCCGACAGTCTGCAGTCGGCCAAATTAGCCTGCAATGCTGCCTTCTAAACCACGTCTCTAACCGATTAAATAAAATTAAAAACTTCCTGTCCTTACATGTCCTGCTCCGACTGCTGGGTTCTCTGCTGGTGGAGGAAGTCAGCCAGGGCAGCAGGGACATCCAGATCTTCCGGACGCTCCTTCCGCTCTTGCCGGCTTTTCAGGAGTGCTGGAGACAGGGAAACCAAGCGGTAAGACCTGTTCTGACCTAGGCTTCCCCAGCAGCACGAAGCCAAGTCCTCGTCCCGATAAACCCCTTTTATTGAATTGACAGTGAATTCCTCTCCAGCAAAAAGTCTCTCCTCTCCCACCATCTTTCAAGATTGTTCACAATTGCCGACCTTTATCAGGCTTGGAGAGTGGCCAGGCTGATATCTTTCATTGGCAAGAATGCAGGAATGAACTAATTGTCTCCTGCAAACTCCACTCCCCTGTCGCTCCTCTTTTATTCCCTCTGGGAGGGGCCGTTCATCGCCCACCTGTGGCTTTACTCCTGAGTCGCCCCTTGTTCTTTAGCTGTTCCCTTCGTCTGGCAACTATGCACATGCGCACACTGGGAACAGGCTCCAGCTGTTCCTCTGCCTCACTGATGTCTGACTCCGAAGGTAGCTGATAACTGTCATGCGGCCCTGACTCCCTCTCTGCCTTAGACGCAGAGCCTTCCCCAGACTCCAGGACTGGCCCATGTTCCTCCCTAATCTCCTCACTGTCCGAGCCACAAGACCCACCCAACTTGGTGCTCTCAGGGTAGCCAATTATCCCCAGCCTGTTGCTGTTGGAAACAGCCACAGTGTAGATCTGTCTGTCCAACCCTGCAGTTTTCCCTCTTCCCTCGCACCTTTGGGCAAGGGCCTCAGAGCATTGGGCTTGACGAAGAGTTTGGGCACGAACGGGGTGTTGGAATTGTCCACCTTCTCGCGGAACTTGAGCTGAGGACGGACAATGTTCTTCGCGTGGAGAAGGCGGAACGTCTCCAGATTCGACCTCGTGTTGGTGTCCCGGTTTTGCTGGGAAAAGGGAAATTGGAGGCCAAGGTGAGACTTTCATCCAGTTAGATGCTCTTGGGAAATTCCCAGCTGGTAAAAGCCTGAATTTCTTTCCTCCCTAGCTCAGATTTGAAAATACATGGCTTTTGAATCACAGAGCCAATTAATATACCATACTTCATCTAACCCTGTTTTTAAAAAAATCTGCCTGGTCAAATTGTCAGCTGGGATCCTCCGCAGAACTTAAATTTTCCATCTTCCCCAAACTAAAAAGGTAAAGGTTCCCCTTGCACATATATGCTAGTCGTTCCTGACTCTAGGGGGCAGTGCTCCTCTCAGTTTCAAAGCCGAAGAGCCAGGGCTGTCCAAAGACGTCTCTGTGGTCATGTGGCCGGCACGACTCAACGCCAAAGGCGCACAGAACGCTGTTACCTTCCCACCAAAGGTGGTCCCTATTTTTTTCTACTTGCATTTTTTACGTGCTTTCGAACGGCTAGGTTGGCAGAAGCTGGGACAAGTAACAGGAGCTCACCCCTTTACGCAGCACTCGGGATTCGAACCGCTGAAAGCGTCTTAGTCACTGAGCCACTGCGTCCCACCAAACTAGCTGGAGGTGAACTGTAACCTACAGAGGTTACCTAGAGAGAAGCAGTTTAAGGGAAAGTTGGCCTAGAAGGAAACTCTGCACTTTAATACGCCGAGCAAAAAACGAGTCTCACCTTGCGATTCCAGCTAGAGACGATGGTCTTGGGAGGCTGCAGGCCTGTGGGAAGGACCGGCTGCTGGTTCTTGTTTACTCCGGCAGCTTCGTCCAATAACATGCCCTGAAATTTCAGAGAAGGAAGTTGTGGGGTCTGTCGGGCGGATCACAAGAACGAAAAGGGAGAGAGAGCCACGGAGTGATCCCTTGGGAGCCTTCACGGAAGGGTGCGGCTACGCTCACCACTCGTTCTAAGATGACATCATTGGCGTCAACCAGCAGATCAAATTTGTCCTCCAGCTCTGTGACCTTGCTGTGGTCTTGAAGGTGGCTCCGGCACCCATGGTATTGCATCACTTTACTCATACTACGGAGAGAGAGAGAGAGAGAGAGAGAGAGAGAGAGAGAGAGAGAGAAGGAGGGAGAGAGAGAGAGAGAGGGAGAGAGGGAGGGAGGCAGAGAGCATGAAAGAGAGAGACAGAGAAAGAGACAGAGAGGCAGAGAGCGTGAAAGAGACAGAGCGTGTGTGAAAGAGATAGAGAGAGAAGGAGAAAGAGAGAGGCAGAGAGTGTGAAAGAGACAGAGAAAAAGACAGAGAGAGCATGAAAGAGAGAGAGAGAGACAGAGTGTGAAAGAGAAACAGAGAAAGAGACAGAGTGCATGAAAGAGAGACAGAAAGAGACAAAGAGACAAAGAGAGGGAGGGGGAGGGAGGGGGAGAGAGAAGGGGAGGGAGAGAGTGTGAAAGAGAGACAGAGAGAAAGAGAGAGGGAGAGACAGACCGAGAGCATGAAAGAGAAAGAAAGAGAAAAAGAGAGAGAGAGGGAGAGAGACAGAGAGCATGAAAGAGAGAGAAAGAGAGAGAGAGGGAGAATTTAGACAGCCATTAATCACCAGTTAGAACAGGGGTCAGCAACCTGCGGCTCTGGAGCCGCATGTGGCTCTTTCACCCCTGTGCTGCGGCTGTCACTCAAAATATGCATCGCAACCGCCAATGTGCAACACCCGCCAGCACGCAATTTATTGAGCTTTTCAACTCTGACTAGGCCAGCCATGGATAAATCCAAGAAAAGATTCAGAAGAAAACAGAGTGTTTAATTCAACTATATATGCTAGTTCTGTGGCCGCTCAAGAAATAAGTCAGGCCTGGGAAGGGTTTTGTGGCTCCCGGTGTTTTCTTTTCTGTGGGAAACGGGTCCAAATGGCTCTTTGAGTGTTTAAGGTTGCAGACCCCTGTGTTAGGAGGAAAGGATGCTCTGTGCAGGAAGATAAATGCTTCCTGAGCCATGCAGGGCAATTTGTCTTCCTCTCTGGATTTCATGATGTCTCTTAATCTGGGCATCAGACCAAATCGCCTGCAG